CAAAGCTAGAGAACTTTTTTTTAATAAGTTATATAACTATTTATCCGTGACGAAGAAATAAAATAATATTTTTCTTATATAGTATATATATATATATATATATATATATATATATATATATACATATATATATATATATATATATATATATATATAAATATGTATATATATATATATATATATATATATTCATATATATATATATATATATATATATATATATATATATATATATATATATATATATATAATTTAACCTGTTTTCACCCAATGCCCTTCCACCTACCCTTCCCTCTCCTGAAAGTTTTAAATATAACCCCCACCACGTTCCCCACCCCACCCACCCCGTTTTTTTCCCCGGAGAAAATTGACTGAAAGAAACATTGCCTTCGTGTAATACATTTCAAGACGTTGGATTTTTTAAAACAAGATCACCGTCTGTGTAGTGAAATTGGAAACATTACATTTTAATCTAGTCCAGGCTGAGAAAAATGCTGAGAACCACGTTTCCATATTCTGGGTCATATGTCATGTCAAACTTCTCTCAACACAAAACCATTCGGGCCCATAGTTTGTGTCTTTCTATGGCGCCAGATCAGCTTACAGATCTTATTTCATCGTATTCAAACTGTCTGCTTTAACGGCGTGCGAAAACTCTTTTGATTTGCTTTGAGGTTGTTTTTTTTGTTTTCTTTTTATCGTTTCTATACTAGTTTCATGACGTTATCTTTTTTGTTCGGAGTTTTCACCCAAAGGTTACGCCGCTCCTTTTTTTAAAACACGTGGTAAGGTGTGTTTGAAAAGCTCAAGATTTTCTAAAAAATAAAAGAATACTTTTTAATATCATTCGACTTTTTCTTTAACGCCGGTGGGTATGTGATGTAAGTTATAATAAATTTAGATTAAAAAGTATTTCTGAAGACCTTAGACCAAATTTCTAAAGTTTTTAAATTCACAAATTTTATTTTGCAATTAAGCAAGTAGCGTCGTAAGGTCGGGTGTCACCTGGGGCGGCATTCCATGGTGTCACACCTAAAATATATGATATATATTAAATATATATATATATATATATATATATATATATATATATATATATATATATATATATATATATATATATATATATATATATATATATATATATATGTATGTATATATATATATATATATATATATATATATATATATATAGTTGCGATTGGTGTCACCCCCTCCAATTTTGCCAAATGGCGTCTATTTGTGCGCACATTATATTAATCCACCAATTAATTAATGTGGAAAAAAACATCGTTTCATCGTAAATTATTAGATTTCGGTGTCATCCCCGCCTCGGTCGTTTATTGACCTATCAATTATTCAAAATACTCAACAAAACCTTTTTTCCTGTTTAAAGTTTGTAGTTTGTGTAATACTCTTACCTAACATCTACCCCTCCCTCGGCGGATAGTTTTAAAGTTCGCACAGTTAATAGTAAAGATGTTTATCTATAGTCAGTTATTAATATAGGTCAGGGGTCGGCAACCTGCGGCTCGCGAGCCGCATGCGGCTCTTTTGATATCAAGATGCTGCTCTCCAGCTCCTTGCACAAATACCAATAATCTCAATAAAAAAATTAAATATTTGAAATTTAAAAAATGTTAGTGGCTCTTTAAAACCGGGGAAATTTTGAAAATTGTAACTTTTGGCTCTTCCGCTTCAAAAGGTTGCCGACCCCTGATATATGTGGATTAACTCTAATCATTAATTGAACTGGAAAAAAGCATATTTCTTCTATCCATTTTGCAACTTTCGCCATAGTGTCAACTTCCTAAATGGTGTCACCCGGTGCGGTCCGCACTACACACCCCCGAATAGTGACGCCTCTGAATTAAGCTATTATTATTCTACTTACACACAGCTAGTATAGCTGTGGAAGAATATTCAAACTGGTCTTTTTCATAAATATAAACAGTAAAAAAAGATTTACTATAGGAATTTTATAAAATTACTTAATAAATGTATGTAACTATTAAGCTAGCCTATGATCGGACTTTGGGACCCCTTGATAGCTTCAGTCTTTCTCACACTTTTGGGGTCCGACTGCACTAGTTTTATGCCAATGTACGAAAGTATAATGACCCCCCCCCCCCTCCCTCTCCAATCCAACTATTCAGGGGAGAGCAATATGTCAACGAAGTCATGAAAGCTTGTCAATTTTTGACCCTACATTTTGTGTAGTAGTCAATTTTAATCTATTTAGGAAATGGCGCCGGTTAGGGATTGCCGAAGAAAGATAATTCAACCACCGTTATAGTATACTTCTTTTTTAAAACCACGATCAAGAAAAGATTAAAGAAAAAAAAATTGGAAATTATTTTTTTAATGTATTTTTTATTATTTTGTGTTGTTCCCTGAATAGACTCCCCCCCCCACCCCGCCCACACACATACTAGCGGTCTGGAGTCATGGTTGTTATGTTCCACCACTGTTCACACCATTTGTTCACCCAACTACTCCTTCTATTCACCCCACCTGACGTTACCTTTTGTATTCACACCTCGTCAACGGTGCAGCTAGGCCGAGATTGTGACATAAATCAAGGCCCACAACCCTTATGCTACAACACTCGTGCGTGGTAGTGGAATTTCGGATTTTACTTTCTCGTATACCAAGTGTGTGTGTATGTGTGTATGTGTGTCTGTATGTCTGTATGTCTGAGAACACGATAACTTGAGTACTGTTGTACTAGGTTGTCGAAATTTCATATCTATTATGTCTAGTTTGAAGTTCTGTATCAACTTTTCAGCGATTTCCGGTAACCGGAAGTGGAACCTTTTCTATTTTTGGTTTTTCAAAAGCCTATAACTTGAGTACTGTTTCAGATACATAAACAAAATTTCACATATAAATAAAATATCTAATAATCTGCCTTCTTTCAAATGTTGAGTAATTTCCGATGACCGTAAATAGTACTTGACGCTATTTCCGATTTTTCAAAAAACACAAATGAATGTATAAAGTACTAGTATTCCTCACTATTATACACATATTTTTTGCCGTTCACTTGGTGTGCATTCTTTTTTTCTTCAATTTTAAAAAGTTTACGTACGTCATAATCATGTCTATGTCCCGAGTTGCCATTCCCGTAGTGTTATATAAGAATATTCAAGAAAATTTAGGGGAGATCACTCCCACTTTATTTATTTGTGTTTTTAAATGATTTCATTTCACTCGAACTTTTTAAGCCGATATTTTATTTTAAAGTTTCCTTTTAAATATACAGTGATACAAAATGCATACAATATTCCAAAGGCTAGATACTAATAAAATGCGTGTAAAACTTGCTACAATTGTTCAAAATAACCAACTTTTCTATTTTCAGAACTGACTGTTCTCTATAACATGTGAGACGGAATGTGAATGACACGAAAGTAATTTCTCACAAGCCTTTCATCGTGAAATAAAATAAGTGAGTTAATGATCACAAAGGGATCTACTTCTGGAAGTAAAAAAAGTGCCTACTTTAAATCCTTTGATATCTATAATAATAGTTTCGCTGTCTGTCTATCTATCTATCTATCTATCTGTCTGACAAGAACGCTCTAGAGAAAAGACAAGCAATTTAAAAACATGCATAGTAATTCGAAAAACGAAGTATGACGTCGACACATTTAGCGCACAGAGTAGAAAATAATCTCAAACCCAGAGAGTGCACACAGTTATATGACGTCATTGATTATCGAGTAAACATTCAATACAAAGGCAATTTGGTCTAATCTAAGTGGTTTGCGTGAAGAGTTTCTTGCATACAATTCTTCGGGTAGGGGCGAAGCCCCACCCCCCGCGTAAGAACGTCTGAGCCCCTCCCCCTCCCCAACTCAAAAGAAATTTCCTCATCGATACTCTATAATAAAATTAATGTGTCTAATCTAAAAAGTGGTTTTCTTGCAATGGGACGGTAGGCATGTTTGGTTTTTTTTTTGGGGGGGGGGGGGGGTGGAGGGGTGGGGGGGGGGGGTGGTGTGTGTGGGGGTGGTGTGTGGGGGGTGGGGGTGGTGTGTGGGGGGTGGGTTGGTTTCAGTGTTTCTTTCAGACTTTTTCCTCCCCGGAGAGGGGTGGGGGTACTTGAAATTTTCGGGGGCGGGGGTAGAATTTTCTGGGAGGGGGCGGACACTGGAAAAAGTATATAATTATATTTCGTTGAATGGGACGGTAGACATGGTTTTTTTTTTGGGGGGGGGGGCGGTGGAGGGGGGGGGTTGGAGGGGTGGGGGGTGGGGGTGGGGGTGGGGGGGGGCGGTGTGTGGAGGGGGTGGTGTGTGTGGGGGGTGGGGGGTGGGGATGGTGTGTGGGGGTGGGGGTGGTGTGTGGTAGGGGTTGGGGGTGGTGTCTGGGGGTCGGGGGGGGTGGGGGTGGGGGTGGTGTGTGGGGGGGTGGGTTGGTTTTAGTTTAGAGAAAAGAGACAGCACTATCAGCCTAGCGCCCGTTGTACCCTTCCTCAACGGGCCATTTTTCTCGTTGTTGAATAGTATTGTAAATTAAATTCAAATTTATTATAGCGTAAAGTAACAAAAACACACTCGTTTCGCATTATTTGTATTCTTTTTAATATTTAAATTGATAACACATATCATACTATATTTAACTTGTTATAAAACATAAAGGTACCTAGGGCAAGTTAAGTAGAGTTTACCTGTTCCTGGTACCTCGGCATATGAAGGGATATTGTTGTCAGCATTATGCCCAGCCGCCTTCCCTTCACTAGCGTACACATAAGAGATTTGTCGAATCAGGGACAAGCTAAAGACTTGAACTCGGATTCGAACTTGAGGCTTTTAGGTTAATGTGTGTACTTTTTCATTCGACCACATCACCACACTTAATCTTTATACGCAAACTTTATTTTAAAACTTGTTCGAATACTAATCTTTATTTTAATCAAACGAATCTGTTTAAGTGTTGGGTGACACGAAAAAGCAATACTAGAGCACTCATTTCATTTTATTTCTTACTTTCAGATGGACGGGTCTCTTCGAATCTGGTTAAAGAAAAGCTTCCTGACGATTGTAATTGCTGCATTGACATTATCATTTGTTGTGGTCTACCTTGCGAATACAAATAATTTCTCAATTCCACACACATACTTCGTATTTTCAGATGTTAGTTGGAGAAATTGGTCTAACGATTCCAGCGTTGAGGCCACTGTGGCATGTGTATTTCCAGAACTGGATCCTTACAAGCCAAACATCATGAAATTATCTGGATTGAACAACAAACCTATCAAATGTGACAAATATCCGCCAGATATAACATACCTCCATAAAAACCAGATTATCGTCAATGTTTCACGAATCACACCAGGCGTCGTGTCGTGTAAATACCGAGAAATTTTTAAACATCCATCGGATGATAGAAGCGCCAAGCTTGGAGACTGGAGTGAGCCTTTCAACACGAGCATTAAACTGTCCGATACAGCGGAATTTTTGTTGATTGAATGTGAAAACATCAGCTCTAATACCACGTCTAAAACATACCATGCACTTATCCCTCGACGTGAAGATTTTTCAAAACTCAAACTTAAAAAACGACTCAAAATGTTTCAACCTAAAGAAACGCTGAACGTTGTAATGATTGGAATGGATGGTGTTTCTAGATATCAGTATATGAGATCTATGAATCTGACGTATAATTTTTTAATGAAAGAACTGAATTCTTTTGATATGACAATGTACACACAAATAGGTATCAACACATTTCCAAATTTGTTACCGTTACTAACAGGTTATAATGAAACAGAGGTGGGAGAATGGTGGGATAAATCAACAACGAACGATCAGTTTGATTTGATATGGGAGGATTACAGAAAAGCTGGTTACAAGACAATGTTCACAGAAGACCAGCCATCTATTGGGAGTTTCCATTTTGGGAAGAAAGGTTTTCAAGCCCCGCCCACCTTGTACTACAATCACCCAGTGTGTATTGCCATGGAGAAAGATAAAGAGCTGTGGCAATTCGGGTATTACTGTGCCGGAAGTCAACCGGAAATAAATTTCCATTTGAATTATGTGCAGCGTTTACTCGATACATATAAGGACTCGCCAATTTTTGCATTTGCATTTCATAACAAAATTACACATAACGATATGACTAAATTAAAAATAGCAGACGAGCACACGTTTGAATTTTACAATACGTTGCGAAAGAAAGGCTATTTAAATAATACTTTACTAATCACGTTCTCCGACCACGGGCCAAGGTGGGGTCCCATACGCTCAACATTACACGGCATGGTGGAGAGTCGTGCACCATACGCCATCTTAACTTTTCCAAAGTGGTTTCTTGATAAATACCCGGATGTGAAAACGAATTTAAAAACAAACACAAAACGTTTGACTACGCATTATGACGTCCATGCTACGTTACAAGACTTGTTGTATTTTAAAGCAAGTGGTTTTGTCCCTTTAATTCCAAGAAAACACGGCACCAGTCTGTTTAATGTTATACCAGAATCTCGCACGTGTGAAGACATCCCAATCCCAATGGAGTTTTGTCTGTGCAACCAAGCACAGATGGATGAAGTGATCTTGAATTCAAGCACAACACAAACATTCGGAGAAGTGATTGTTAAAAAAATTAACGGCAAAAGAAACATAAAATTATGCGTGGAACTAAAATTTGAAAAGGTTCTCCAGATCGTAAAAATAACATTACCCCACTTATCAAAACAAGATTATCATTTGTACAAAGTTAAAATAGAAACAACCCCAGGGGAAGCTATTTATGAAGGTACAGTTTACACGGCTAAAGACGATGAAGAAAGTTTAGTCCAACACTTGGGCAATTACCTGGCCAAGGGCAACACAAAGAACATAACAGTTGGGGAGAGTGTTGATAGGTTCACGTTTTACGCCGGGCAGGCGGACTGTGAGGACGACGCGACGGTTAAACCGTACTGTTATTGTAAAAATCTGGTCAAATCCTGACACTAAATTAAACACAATTTTAGAGACTCATATTCGTGAACAGAAATAATTATTTAATTTTATTTTCATGTTTAATTTCTAATGTGAAAATGTAGGGTGGAAAAGAAAGACAGTTGCAGATGGTTTTAGACTTTTGATAGTTAATTTATATTATTTAATATTCTTTCTTGTTTTAACATATTTTTCTATCTAAAAGCAGCATTACAAATTTTACACACTTTTTTCTATGTGAAAATATGAATATTAGAAAAATATCATATTTTTAATGAACATGTTAACTAGTGATCCATGAATAAAAGTTTTGATGTTTTTATTTCTTAAAATAAATGGTAATAAAAAGTTGTGATTTTAATTCTATAAGCTATTTTATACGTATAGTGTATTTGTAACGAGATGACCGTATTATATGGTGCGCATCGTTTAAATTGTGTATTACTTACAACATCTTCTTTTAGATGTACAGAAAAGTAAGCTGAATTTTCAGTTTAGGGTACTTAATGTTACTGTTTAGGATGCAGTTTCTGATAAGTTAACTATTAGCTACATGTTAAAGACGGACATATTTATAAGAAAAACCTAAATCCATTGCTTGCGCTTTGCCAAGACTAAAATAAAGTGATTAGGACCTTACCCCCCAACCCACATCAGTTACCCCCATCTGACTTAACAAACCTCAGTAGGACATTAACCCTCATACACAAACGAGGAATCGGGTTGGAAATAGAAATGGATAGGGTTAGGGATATTGTTACAGTAATGGATACGGATCTGGAAATAGAGGTGGATAGGCATAGTGATACTACGAATTATGAAAGGGATATTGACTGGGAAATAATTGACGTGTGATAGCATTTCAGTACAATGAAAATGCTCTAAAAAGTTTTTAAAAAATAATTTGGTGTAACTTTACTAAAGCTATATGCTGGCATGAATAATAATAAAAGGCTGGACTCTCATAGATGAAAAATGAACATAGTTCTTATATAATGTTATAGAACTTACACTTATCAATGAACTCTCTATGAAGTAAATATATTTTCTATGGAGTTCATGGACAAAATCGACGTTTATACAAAGGCTAGGGATATGTATATGCCAGATAACGTTATGACTAAAAATTCCTTTGATTGCCTATGTCTGGCTGTTGTGTAAGAGAGAAAAATATAAAATTCTGGGGACTTTGTGAAACTCGTCAGACGTGTCTCATCGAATATACATCATAGCTGGCATAATCATTGTTTGGTTTGTTTATCTCAATTGTATTTTGAAAAAAGGCGATTAAAACCTGATTGATTGTTGGATTTTGTCATATTAGTTGAATAAATCTCTGATTTTACTTCAGGTTCTTGCTATTGCAGGTAGCTCCACCTTCACATCCACACCACACATTACACACCTCAGCTAGAAACACCGCGTCACCCTGAATGATGGTACTCTTATACACATTAAACGTTCAAATTATATCGATCTATATTTATAAGTGAAAGAAAGAAAAAAAAATCTAGAAATTTCCAATTTCAAAGTGATACTTGAAACAAGTACACTATGGCGAGTGCCCACATGTTACATATTAAAGTATGGTTTAACAATAAATGTTAAGCCTTATGGTTTTTATGATACAGCTAAATGTGCTCGATAACACAACGAATAGCTCATAAACAGTTCTATAAATAAACTAATTCACAGTACCCTGAACACTGTTTCGACATTTTGAGCAGAAGTTAGAACCAATGATTTTCTTTTCAATGCAAATGCAAGCATTACTAGTATTAGTAGTGTTACAAATGATGGTTGCAGTAATACAATTGGGAACCATTTAGGATTAACATTTAAAACAATTATCATTGAATCAATTACTTAATTTAATTTAAAAACCACATATTTAGTCAACGCTACTTTCAAAGCTATTCCGGCTCAGGGTATGCCACCACCCTCCCTTTAGCAAGACATATATGGCAACGCCCAGATAAAGAAAACGGGGTCATTATATGTGCTACTAAAAGGCTCTAACACTAACATACGAATACAGCTCTACATAACCAACAAGCTAACTTTCTCTTTCATAGCTAACAGATGTTCTCCATTTCAGATCACATAGACTTGTAACCGTACAGAAAAAAATTACTTATTTGACTGTGTTTTTCGGACCAATTTAACAATATCAACATCTGTTGTCACAAATGCATGAACATTGCTTATCACGTAGGATACTAATTTATTGATGTATATAATATCGTTTAACAAAACATGAACTAATCAATATCCAGATATTGCAATAAAGTCGGCTGGACATAATGTAGACTGCTATTTCTTCATATGCCTTGAAATAAATGAATTTTCATTTCACATGCATTTTGGACAATCAGGTTTGAACTGGTTCTTTAGATTATGTCACATATTGAAATAGGTCAACCATCTCATAAATTTTTAATGTTGGAGGGAGAATGTGTGCATTTAACATTTAGGCTACTTAAAAAAACAAACTTTTAAAAGGTGCCTTACCAAAGGGATACAACAAAACCGGATTAAACCCTCGCGTTACGAATTCACTTACAACGTGTCAAATGGTATTGCAAAAACCTGTTGAAACACAGCATGTATGCATATATTACATGCAAATTAAAGTTCCGGGGTTGTAGGAATGAAAACACAAAACACAGGCGTAGAACACAGTGAAAACAATATAAAGTATTGCATGTTTTGTCAATGAATGACAATCTCGAATGTCAGGTGTCAGGTGTTAGTTGCCACGATGCACGATTACAATGTTTGTTATGTCATGCACGAAATCTGTTTCATGGCAGAATTAAGTATTATGTACGATACATCTATATATAAAATTCTCTTCTTGGAGACCCTAGAAAACACCAAGCTGTAAGCGCGCATCCTACCACCCCACCCCTACATGGTCTGGTGAGCTGTGGTTCACGCTAAATGTTTACAATCGTAGAGCCAGGTTTAGTGACGGCTATGAAGGGACAGATAATTTAGTTTGAAACTATTTTAAACTTAGGGGAGGTAACTAAGAGGAGGCTGCTTTCACGGGGGGTGGGGGGATATGGGTTGGGGAAAGGAGGGGGGGGGGGCTATCGTCCTTAACGAGCTACTGATAGTTTTTTAAAGCAACTATATTCAGTGGCAGCATTGGTTCTGTCGAATTCACAAATTATGAATTATTGAAAAGTAGGAAATAAAACAACTAAATAGAGGCGTATGATACGCCGCGGGTCAGCTCGTTATATTCTAAATTAAATTAAATTTACTTTTTATTTATATTTAGCCTTATTGCATACACATTGTTTGAAATAAACAATGAAATATAGCCTGTAATCTCTTCTTAAGCACCCCCGCAATTGAAATTCGATTTATAGTCTTTTGACCGTGGGGGGTTGAAATACCTAATACCTCGATAGCTTTCAGCAGCATAATTAATGGAACCTAAGCCATACCCACAGCGAAACTTGTTTTTTTGAAGTAACGTACCATTCCAAAAATGTATATTTGTAATCAATTTTCCCGAAACCAACTGGAGCTTTCATTCTGTTTTAAACAAAATAATCAACAGGCAACTCTTAGCCGATGTTTGTTTTGTTTTATAAAGGTTTATTTTAAATTGATTTCAAACTAGAACGAGTGAGTTAAAATAATATGGCCTCGTCTGCAAAACCTTATTAATAGCTAATATTGGTTGTGCTGAAGAGTTATTCACATTACAAGTAAGAGTTGTCTGTACAATTTTCTGTTAAATGTCCTTTACTCGAAATATCTATGAACTAATTAACATTGCACTGTTACATAATATGCGGTACTTTTAAGCAGTTCGATTATTTTTTTAATACAAATTCCCAAGTTTTGTAAAGTATACCATCTTATTCAAAGTTCTTTTTTTTTGTCACAAAATATTAAACAAATATGAGCGCTTGCTAAAATTTACCATTTCAAAACTTTATATATTTTGTTTTTCTATTTTCTATTATTATCTGATAAATTGCTTGTATCTTTTCTACCTTAAATTTAGAGATTGTTAATACTCTCCCCTTTTGTAATCCGTATCTATTCGTTATGGTCTGGAAAGTTGTTTTATGTTTCTACTTACAATCGAGAGACTCATATAGCCTATATATATATATATATATATATATATATATATATATATATATATATATATATATATATATATATATATATATATATATATATATATATATATCTGCATTTATTTATTTTGCTTAATTATCAAACCTAGAGTTATTCGGATAATGAATAGAGGGACTTACTCAGTATCGTACAAAAGGGGGAGGGGTCTGTAGCCTCACAAAGGACAAGTTTTAGCAAAACTTTCGCCTTTTTGTGGAACATAAATGAATTATAATACAATATATAACAAGTTTTACTTCTATTGTAAAAACAAATACACTTTACCTTAAGTAGTATTTTAAAACTGACTACTACTAGCCTATAATTTCATTGCCAATATCATGTTAAGTATACATATTTTTTTTGTATTTACTCACCGTAAAAATACGTCTCGCAAAACTGCGTAAGAAAAAAGATTAATATTTTGCAATCAAAAACTTAACACTTTGAAAGTTGCTTCAATTATAATAATATTGGCAATTTAATTTAGGCTGCAGACAAAACAATTTCTCAAAACTTTGAACTAATTCTTTCAATTCCAGTGTGGAAGTGGAAGCGAAATCACATTCTATGTTGCGAAGTCCACGTGTCTACTTTACGACATAGCCCCCCCCCCCCCCCCAACAACTCCAACCCAAAAAATTTAAAGTGCCCCCCTCCCCCCGGGAGAAAAAGTCTAAAAAATAAACCGGGATTGATCTCCCTTAAACTTTCTCGAATGTTCTTATATAACACTACGGGCGATGACAACTCGGGACATAGACAATATTTTTAATCCATTTTTATTTACTTAAACTTTTAAAATAGAATAGAATCTCGTAGTAAAAAGAATTGCACACCAAGTGAACGCCAAAAAAAATGTG